GTTTGTCCAGCTCCAGTCAAGTGGCTGTGGTTCTCTCTGCCCTCTCACTCATTTCCTCCCGGGCAGGCCTTAATCTCTGTGGTGAAGGCACTCCCTGAAGAAAGGAGAAGGTGGAGGCATGGGCTTCCCCAGTGGCTCAGAGGGTTGAGCGCAGCACTGTGAAGCTGTCCATAGCCTCTGCACCATGGGTTCAATCCCAGCCAGCCAGGGAGATACCCACATAGTGTGTCAGACCTCTCCTAGCTCGCCCGCTGCTCCCCTCAGCAGCATTTTCCATCCATCTGCCAGTTGTTCTGTTTCCCACTCTGTCTCTGGTGAATCCTCTTACCCTTCTGCACCCCTGGCCTATACCCCAGTTCTTGTATAAAAAATAAATAAATCTTTAAAAAAAAGAAGAAGGTGGAGGTGGAGGCAAACATGGCTGGCCTTACAACCTACAGTTTCTCAGACTGTGATCCAGAGACCCCCCACCCCAAGGTCTCCAGGAGCTTGGAAAATGTACTATGTACTCATCCCACTACCCCAGACCCTCTGTATCAGAATCTCTTAGCAACTGAATTTTCAACAATATTGATTTCAAACAATCTGTAAAGCAGACTGAATTTGGAGAACACCTACTTTTCCTGACAGGTGATGTAATGAAAGGGGGTCACCTGACAGGAGGGTTTCTTCTCAGCAGTGTCTCCCTCGTCTTTACCCCTGCATTTTACTCACCAGCCCTCTTTCCATTCAGGCCAGCAGATGCCCGGGTCTAGGCTCAGGGTGTAACAGGGTGGTCCCGAGGAAAGGGGGAGGTTCCCTGCCCCACCCAAGGGAGGGTGGAGCTGAGCAGGAAGAGGAGAAGCTGCAGAAGAGACTGAGGAAGGAAGCAGGATGGAGCCAGGAGACCTGGAGGAGGCGCATGGAGCCTAGAGACACGTGAAGAAACTGCGCTTGTCTTTTGGTCGTGGACTGGGTGACACAGATGTGGGTGAGACCCGTGGGGAGGTGACAATGGCAGCTTTTATCTTGATGTTGATTTTGCTCTTTTCCTTCCGGACTTGTCCGGTTGTTTGTGACCGTTTTCTGTGGGTCCCCACTGGAAGATGCTTTAGACTTTTAGCAGGCTTTGGGGCCTTGTTCTGGGCCGATCCCATATGGATGGACTTTTACCCACGAGGGGATGGGTAACTTTGGGTGCTACATTTAGAAACTAGATTCTTTGCCTTTCCTGTATTGTTTCCTAATTAAAGTTCCTTCCCATTAAAGTCTCATATGTTTTGTGTTGATGCGGCGGATGGCAGAACCCATTTAGAATAGGCAGGTTTGCGGGGCTTGGGCTGCCCCTCTCCCTGTCCTATAACAAGGGGATGTGCCAAATATTTTCCTCCACCCATGAACTCCCTGTTTTTCAAAGAAACATTGGCAGAGGCTAAGGACAGTCAGGGAGTGGCGGGGACATCTGCCCAGTTGGAGGGCTTGGGCACTCAGCCCATGGGCACACTGAGTCCCCCTGTGCTGCAGAAAGGAGCAGGACATCCAGGGAGTGCACAGGGAGGGCACCCACCCCTGTGCTGGCCTGGGGCAGACAGGAAGGCACTGGCCTCTGTAGCATCTCCCCCAAATTCCGAGGGTAGCGCCTAGCAAACAAACTATATCTCGGTGTGCAAAAGTTCCGCCACCCCCTTTTCTACCTTTGGAGAAAACACATTTATTAAGAACGAAAGAGGGCCTCCCTGGTGGCGCAAGGGGTTAAGTCTCAGCACTATGAAGCTATCAGCAGCCACTGCAGCACCAGTTCTTGGCTCCCCAGCCAGGGAGGTCACCCACATGTCTCCTGTCTTGCCCGCTGCTCCCCTCAGCAGTGGATTTCAGTAGATCTGCCTGTTCTGCTTCCTACTCTTATCTCTGGTGAATCCTCTTACCCTCCCCCAACCTCCTGCCATCTCTGGCCTACACCCCAGCTCTTGTAGGCTTAAATAGATAAATCTTTTTTTTTTGTGGGACCCTCCTCGGTGGCCGGGGCCGGCACTGCAGAGGCTACGTAAGGGGGCAGCCTCGCGCTCAACCACTGCGCCACCAGGGGAGGCCCAAAAAGATAAATCTTTAAAAGAAAAAAAAGAATTAAAGAGAGCTTTTCATTGTAATCAGTGATGGCCCCAGGGGCACTCACGAAGGCTTTAGTCTCCTGCTCTTTCAGGTCTCTTCCTCCTTCAGCCAATCCACCCTTAAAGTAAAAATTTCATCACAATGAGACTCATTATGTCCCAGCAGATCTAATTCAAATTCTGCAGACAATAGCTTCTGGCCAAACTGTGACCCCAAATCCCCTCTAGAACTGTAGAACCTCTAATGAGGTTGAAAACTTGAATTCTCTCCTGTACTTCTTCTTCTTCTTCTTTTTTTTTTTTAAACAGTAATTAATTACTTGGTTGACAAAGTCTTTTTTTTTTTTTTTACTCCAGTGGAGAGAAAAAATAAGCATTCCCCCAAAAGACTCAGTATTTCTCAAATTTCAGACTGAAAAAAGCAACAGAGGAGCATATATAGGTTTCCGAGGTCTTATACCAAAAGTTTTGATTCAGTAGGTCTGAGTAGGATCCAGGAATATGCATTTAAAATAAATGACTTAAGTTATTCAAGATACAGCGGGCCTATGGTGTGCAGATTACACCTTGAGACACATTCGTTTGAATGCACATCCAGGAGTGCATTATTTCCAGGTACTCTTGCAATAGTGGGGGGAATGGAAATTGGGGGAATACTGGTTTTCTAGTACTCTAAATGTCCTGCAAAGAGAAAAAAGCTGAATGCAAGGACATGACTGACTTCGCACAAGTTTGACAAACAATAAGCCTTGGTTTTATGAAAAATACATCTAAAGGAGTTGTATTCTTTTCACTTCATGTTATCTTCTTCCCTTCAGACCTGAGCATAACTCAGGCCTCTTTGAGTTCATGTGTGAGCAGAGAACCCAAAGGCTGGCTTTTTTTTTTCATTGCCAACCTGTCCTTTTCCCAACATACTTTTAATATAAAGGTGATGTTAAGAGCAGGAGATTTGCTTTGAGAATTGGGCCTGGCATCCATTTTTTATCTGAATGCACTCTCTTTGCTTCCAGGATGCATCAGGACTACAGAAATATCACCTTCAAACTCTAGCTCTTGCTCATCAATTTGGGGTGGGTCAGACACCTCTCATTTGCTTTTAGGTCTTTCTTCAGGGGTGGGAAATCTTATTGCTTTGATTCTTTAGACAGGAGGGTACGAAAATTATCAAATAGCATTTTCCACTTGGTCATTTTGAAGCAAAAAGCAACTTTTAAATTTGGAAGAGGCATGGCAGTTAATTTTTTTTTAAGTTCCTAATGGTTTTACATCACAGTATAGCTGTGAGTTTGCCACGGCACTCATACCCTACACCTCAATCCATCCTTTCAGCTCCTTGCATTACCTTTCATGTCTTGCTCCATATCCTAACAACATATTCCACTCTCCTCTTTCTTTATCTCCACCTTTACTTTTGCAACCTGCTGGTCATAGTAGTCAAAAAGCCCTAGGATATCAATCAAATGAGTCTTCTAAAGTGAGCAAAGACCTATGGATATGCTGTTGTACTTGATTTCATTATTAATAGCAAGGACTCACATAACACCATATACCAGGTATTGCTCTAAACACTTAGCAAATAATAACTTATTTAATCCTTATTAACTTATTTAATCCTTATATGAAATAGGTATTATTATAAAAATATAATAAACTCATTTTATAGGTGAGGAAACTGAAGTATAGAATGGTTAAGTAACACACAAGTAGCTAAGTGGGGGAGTCAGGATTCAAACTCTCTCTCCGTGTTCTTAGTCACTATCAATATTGCCCACCTAAGAAGGCAAAATCAAGTCAAGCAAAAGCCAAGAAAACCCCCCCAACAAGCAAAAAATCTATTCTTAAACAAAAAAGCTATTTTCAAGGACACTTGAGAAAAGGAGATAAAGTACAACAACCTAATTTGAAGCTGTGCTCACGGGTCTTGTATCATTTATACATTCATTAATACAGTCCCACAAACTATTAAATCTGTTAATAATAACCCAGCACAACTGATAATTATTCAGCACATGCCAATAACTATTTTGTTTAATACTCACCCCACTGAAGGCTGGTTTAATAGTTTCTTTACCAAATGTTTTCATTATAATCATTTTTAGAGAATTACCATTGTTTTATATCCTTGTTAGTATTTTTATTTATTTTTTACAACATTATTCATTTTTAAACAATATTTGCTCCCCCCCCATCCTTGTTAGTATTTTGAGGGCATAGGACTCCCTCCTCAGGGTAGTCACCATTTTTTGCTAAATGATAATATACCAAAGAGAACTATCCTTCCAGCATTATTGGTTCTCAGAATTCTGTAAAATCAGAATACTGTGCCCAGGAACCCTGGTAGAATAATAACTGCATCTACTTTGAGGAATAGAGACACAAGAGACCCAAACGGAAGCAGCCTTTTACCACCATCTCTCAGGGGATGCCAATACTCGGGATCCTTCCAGAAGCTACTTGTTTTGGGAAAAGTCTCAATTGCATTTTCAATCTCCCACAAATTAGCCACAAGATCCAAGTCAGGTCCTGAATCTGTTTCCTACCTTTCTCATATTTTTTTGAGGTCCAAGTTAACACTATTTAACTGTAAATGTCTAGAAAATGTAAGGTAATATTTCAAATGGTTCTGATAAATATATTGTTATTCTATTTATCTAAAGAAATTGTGATTGTCTGGATTTAATTTGAGGTTGACTGTGTCTTTCCCTCCTCTCCCCTCAAGTAAATTTCTTGAGGGCAGGAGCTATGTCTTACTTGTCACTTAAGAGTGTTTCGGGCAAATAGCAGTGATCAATAAATGTTTCCTGAATGAATGAATGAATGAATGAATGACTAAAAGGAATTGTCAAAGGAATTTTGAGGTCGCTCTCTAGGGTGAGGTGAACACAGGGGAGGAGAAACCATTCACCATACCTGCTTCAACCACATGGTCGATGGTGGGAAACCTTTTGTACACAGCTGTGCTCACCGAGCGGAAGATGAGCAGGGAAGTGAGGTTTACATAGCGCATCAGCGTCCTTCTGAGCAGACGCCCGTGCTCGTCGCTTCCGTGAACACTGCTGGAGATGAGGAACATCAGCCTGTCCGGCCAGGGCAGATTCACAAACTGGTTCCACCATCGGTTCACTACCAGAGTCACATAAAACCCTGTAGGACAACAGGAAATTATAAAGCAATTTCCTATAGCAGACACGTTGCTGGCACTGATGCTTTAGCAGAATTTTAGCCTTTGTGGGGGTTGGGGTATAAAAATGTTATTAGCCATACCTTATGATTTTGCCCTCCAGAAAAAAGGTAATTTGTGCCTGGCAATGCTGTAGCACCCGTTAGAATTCAAATGTTGATGGCAAAAAAATGGAAAGTTAGTGAAGAGAAAGCTTAATTGTCCAACAGAGTATTACCTCAAACTTGTTGGGGGTTAATTTAGCCAAAGCAACCCTGAAGGCAAACCTTAAGGATGATTCTGGTTCTATTGCAAGCGGTGGTTTTCAGGCATGCCTCTCAGCTTGGACACACTCCCATGCAGAGTCATTGGTGTCATCCTAAAGGAGACAGCTGTGTGGCTGCATTCTGCGTGGTACCTATACTTACCAAGCACAAAGGTTACTGGAATTTGTTCAGCATATCTGTCACAGTAAATTGATAATTTTTCAAAGTAACGTTTTTGGGCTCCTGTAAGTAACAATCTGGAGCAAAAATAAAATGCACAGCCCTTTATGATATTATACTTCTGCACCTGCTTTGCAAGTGACATTAAGTGCAAACAATTAAGCACAAATAATCTTAAATTTTTTAAGGAGCAATAACTTTTCTACTTAAGCGGATGTATCTGAAAAGCTTTTAAATCGCTGATGTTCCAATTACGAACATTTTTAATACTAAATATTATCGACCACATGATAGTGGGATTTTGTTAACCATTTTATTTTTAAATACTTTATATTTTTAAACTTTACAATGATCAATGCTTTGCATTTGGAGTAAGATATCATCTGAAAGAGTCCATTTTTCAATTATTCATCAGGTCTACTTTAAAAATGTGTCTTGATTAAATGGATTAAAGTAATTATTAAATAATAATCCTGAATTTTGACTTCTTGATTTTGCTTTCCCTGAATATTACTCAGCACAAGGGATGTAATTGCTCACTTTAAAGCTCAATTATTTAAAATGTAAATCACGAAGACCTAGCAATTTTTATTATTAAAATTGGTGGGTTTATATTTATATCAAATATCAAAATTTATAATATAGATCTGACCCAAACCCATTTTCTGCTATTGTTAAACATATATTCATTTAATAGAACTATTATGGATAATTACATTTTTGCAAGGAGATTCAAATCATAGAAAAAGTCTCAAAGGCAAGTAAATAATGATCAAAATTTAGAAAGAGAAGCATCTCAAATGAATTTACATAAATGAATGAGTGCAGCTGGTCAAGGGAGGCAGGAATCCCAGGGAGCTGCCATTGTAACATATGTCAGATGCCCTTTTAGGTCAGTAGCAGTTTGATGAAGGAAGCAGAGGGATGATAAGGTAACAGTGAACCACCAATCAGATGGCAGATGCGGAACTGCTGGTACAGCTGGTGCTGAGATGGAGGGTGTTGGGGTCAGGGGTGGGCTTGGAGTTCCTGCCTCAACTTTGCAGGAGGTGTCAGAATTTCTGAAGTCAGAAAAAGACTGACAAGAGAGGCATCAGCTAGTGGCACAGGCCTATCAGGGTCATGCTGAGGACCAAGTTATCTAAATGTTTTTGATACTCAAATAGGGATGGTGAGAGAGGATTTAACATGGAAAGCATGGGCTTCAAAGGAAGCCAGACTTGAATCCAGATCTGTCAGATTTGGATTTTGAGCATATTTAAAATCTCTCTGAGCCTCAGTTTTTTCATTTGTTATAGGGTTAAACCTTTCATTTGTTAAAGGATTAAAGAATAGAATCTATACAAAACCACTTGACATGGTATCGTACTTAATAGTTAAGTGGTTTTAGTATTAATAATTTGCCAAGGAAAATATTTAGTTAACAGACAAAGAAATTTAACTAAGTCAAAAGTACTGTAAGAATTATTTTGTCAAATCCATCCCAATGTAGGAAGAGATATAATCAAGTAAATGAATCCTGGTTCTGTCTTATAATTTTTGCTAATCATAAATATTTGCATATAATGGGATTTAATAAAACAGGGTCATTAGTAGGCCAGAGAATGAAGCTATGTTTATGTATTTTTACAACCAGATTTGACTTTCTTCACAAATTCAGCTTATAGTCAACTATAAGGAACTCTTTCAGTACATTTTTTTTCAGTTGAACTTAAATGATAAGCACTCTTTGGTCTTTAGGAAAAACATATGCATACAATTTTGTGGAATATAGATAAGATATTGGAGCCGAAGGTACAGCTCCATAGAGCATTTCTGGCTGCATTGCAACTGTTCTGAGAGCTATGCTATTCTAAGTAGCAGTAGCAGCAGTAGATACACATTAGTAAAAATAAACTAATGAGACAATTATCCTGAACAGTCATGTGTCTCCCACCATTTCATATTCTGAAGAATTAGGTGACACATCAATAATTGTCAATAATATCTTATAAGACATAGTTAAGAGTTATTAAAGGTTTTTAATGAAACTTCCCCTGTTAAGATATTTTGCCAAAATGTATACCAATATATACATTTGTTTGGAATAGTAGCTTCCATGTGTAGCAAAATTGCTCTTCCTATTTTACGTTTGATAGTTATCAGCCAGCCAAATTAATATCCCTCTTCTTCAAATGGGGTCCTGTTGCTGCAAGGAAGAATGCAGATGAGAGCAGTGATAGACAAATTTGTTCATCTGTATGCGGAAGAGAAATAACAAACTAATGCACATAGAAAAGGTGGAAATACAGCCTCAAAACCTTTACCTTTTATATTTTAAGCTTTCATTTCTCCAGAGAAATGAATAATTAAAATTTAAAAATTAAATTAAAATTAATTTAAAAAACTCGTGAAGCTTTCCTTTTATAATACTGATAAAATTTTATTGAGATTATAATTTTTAGTTATAAAAGTGTTTCTTGGACATGATATTGCTCAAATTTTCTGTCAATGGGACAGGCATAGGTTGTGATGACATAAAGAATAAACATCTTCTGTGACCTAACATTCCCCAAATTTAGAAAATATGAAGAAAATAAATTATTTGGGGGGCCTTTTCTTTAGTTAAGGTTATTGGTAGCATTGATGGACATCATCCTAGGTAAGATCTGATCATTCCAGGCAAAAGGAAGGCCAGCTGCCTGATAGTCACCATTCACAAGCATGTTAATTTCATTGGTAGTTGCTATAGGCTGTCAACTCACAAATTCAAACTATGAATGTCATAGTTGAGAGAGGCACAAATAATTACTTGTCTGTGGACTTTGCCATTCAAATTATCATGTAGTGAGGATTAAGTATAAATCTTCCATTTTATGTTTATAAAAACATTCTTGAAGCACAATACGTCATCATGATCAATTAACGTGGGGGTGGGATGTGAGCCACCTGAACATGATGGTTAGAGTCTATTTAACATCCTAGAAATGGTTAGGTGTGGATTAAATACCCTGTCCCGAGGAGAAGAAGGCAACAGAGAGGATCATGCAAAGGAGAAGGTTACATAATGCAAAAGTCAGCGGCAACCAGAGATCTGATTTTTGAGACTGTATTCTTACATATTTGAGGCCATCTAAGGAGACATGCAAAGAAAAGTACCTGTACACCAAACTTATCGCTGTATAGAGAACAGCAAAAACAATAAACTCCCTGTACAGTAGTTTGTAGATGCTGCCTCTCCACTTGAGGAGTAACCTATGAAATCCAAAAAAAGTCGCATTTGCTACTTTACTGGAGTAAGTGACAGTCATCTTGGATAGATTTTTCTAGAAGGGCAAGAAGAAAAAAAAAACAAGAAAAAGGCAATGTTTAAAATAGAGCACAAATCTGTATCTCAAAGGAAACCTGAGAGCAGCCAGCCAGCTATCTCTCCCTTTTGTCTTTCTGTTTGTCCAATTTGGAATTTGTAGAAAAACACTAACTCAGTGCTAAATTTTTTAGTAGGTAGGAAAGAGGAAGAAAGAATTTCTTGGAAAGAGATATATTAGAAATTTTAAGGCTGTTTTAATATCTAAATATTATTTTATGTTATATAACCATTGCTCAAAAATCTTTGAATGAATAAATGAGATATATGAGATAAGTTATACTGTTGTTTATCATTCCTTTTCTTGATGCACAGAAAGATTTAGGATGTGTATTTGCAATATTAATTGATATTTTTGAGTGCAGTGACCAAACTAATTGCTTGGTCTTTCATTTGCTAGCATGTTTAAAGAAATATTTATTTTATCTTTAAACTTCCTAAGGGAAAGTATGGCTTTCTTCTTAGAAATCAAGAAATATTGTTGGAAAGAAGCAGGCACCTGTGAGAATTTACTGGATGGCTTGCTTTGGGTGGCTCTAGGAGGATGCAGGTCTGGTGGTCTCCAAGGGAATAGAAGCACTCTGTGCTTCAAAGGGTAGATAAAGTGTTGGGCCACCGTGCTACACTTTCCCATTGAAAATTCTTGCCTAAAATGTTTAAGGATGGCTCACTTTCTGTTTGGAGGTGAACCAAATGAGGCAAATGTTTAGGACTCTTTCCATTTGGATTTGTTCCACGGATGTGGATGAGAACTGAGCCCCAGAGGCTGTTCTCCAGCGAGTTTTCTGGAATTTCATGGCTTTTCACCAAGACACTGAACATTCAGGTTTTGAGAGAGGGCCCAAAAGCTCATCTTTGTTTGAAAGTCCTGCTCAAGAATTCTCTACCTTGGAGCATACACAGATAATGAAGTTTCTTTGAAACCTCTTTATTTTTTCAAAAGGTTCGATGAGAAGAGTCTTAGAGAGCTACTTAGGCTGAAATTATGGAGCGTTTATGTAGAAGTATAATAGATAAGAAACTAATCCTAGAGCAGATTTCTTATAGAAAGTAGCCTACAAAACATTTTACTATAAACAAGAAAATTTTCTGTCTTTATTCACAGGTGGGGAAACAATCCA